ACAGAAAATTCAGGTTTTCCTACGAATTTATGGAAAATTTGCGAAAAATAGAAAACATGCAGGTTGTCCTCTTAACATAAAAAGAAAAAATGTAGTATTTCCTAGTAAAATACAGAACTAAGCCCCAAACCCTAAAAGAAAAGAATTCCAAAAAAAAGAAAAAAAGAATTCCAAAAAAAAATGCACATTCACACTCGGACTCTGTCAGGCAAAATATCCCAAGTCTGAGCTCCAGACGCTGTACTGCACATAGCGCTGCGTGTTCGTCAGTACAACATTGATGTACCTTCGTGGTTCTCGGCAGTGCATGAGCTTTCCAAATCCAAAAACCCGGGTGGCGGTGGAAGAAGCTTGCCAACAGCCCAGGCACCGGTTGATTCGAACTTGCAAATCCAGTGAGATTCCTCGCTGTCGCAGGAACTTTCGGAGCAGCCACAGCTGAGATGAATGCCGCCCCGTCATCTTGCGCAAGCCTCGCTTCGGGTTACGCTGGATGTTTTTTTGGCACTGGATGGAGACAAGAGGACTGAAGAGCAGAAGGGTTGGAGGGCGTCCTTTATACCATATCTGTCACGCCTGGGCCTCGGCAGACAAATACACTAGCATTGCACAGCAATCCAAGACTTCGTGCCACCATCTTCAATGCTCCCTGGCGCACTTGCGCAAAGCTGGGGCTGAGGCTGGGTCTTAAGACACAAGAAACTACGTTCTGTCCCATCCGCTGAAGTGAAAGACAAGCAGCAGTAGCACCAAATCCTTTCTTCAAACCCTTTGCAAGACCTCTGGACTGCAATTCTCCTCCATGCCAATCTCATCAACCACAACGACAATTCAGACATGGCTGCATGTTCTTGGGCAGGGGCTGAGAGGGCCCGCGAGCCACCCTCACGCCTCTTTTAAGGGGTACCTGGTTGGCACACTCTTTCGGTCTGTCACCTCCTCACCCCGCCACCCACTGGACATCTGGACTCAACTAAATCTCTGCCGCAAAGCTGGTGGTTGCGCCGGTCAAGCTCGCGACAAAAGAAGAGAAGACGAGGAGGGCAAAAAGCAGGACACCGATGGCGAAGCTCCTTTCAATCCATTGTCTCTTGAATCTGAGCTACTATGACTCACATATCAATTTTCTTTTGTTGCTGCGCTCATACAGCCAACCGTAGTCGTGATGTTCAACTGTGGCACCAGTGGCACGCGTTCGGAGTACGATTTCATGGGGCTAGTACCGTCCTTGTAGGTTAAGAGTGCTCTTTGAAAACCATCCGCCGGCGCATGGACCGTTGTAGATACGAGATGAAGGCATCTCCTGTTGCAAATCGTGATGTCTGAACCGCCTTGCTAGAGATTTTGGCCCCAAGCCCTGCTCCAACAAGCCCCCGGCAGCCGGTAAAGCATATTCCATCGGGGAATCTGCCATACTTGGTCAGTATCTCATGTTCTTCTTGGGCTTGAGGGAGTCCTTTCAATGGTGTTTTGTGGCTGGACGCCCATGGACGCCGGCGTAAACTGTGTGAGGGACCAGTGCATGGCGGTTGTGTACCTGCGACTGCCAGTCTTCAAGCCGGGGGCTCGGGGCTTGGGTTTGAGTTCCAGGTTCCGAACGTGAAGCAAACTGCTTAAGTTCTCGCCCTGCAAGGGGCACTTATAGAGCAGCAAATCATCCACGGGATCGTCGCAGGAGATGACGGAAAACTCTGCGACGAGCCAGGAGCTCTCATTGTTCGGTGGGTTGCAGCCCACAAGGTACCTCTTCGAGCTTTTAGGCGGGTTCACAGCACGGGGATGTGAGAAGGCTCTGGCCCAAGCCCCAAAAGGAAAAACAAACCCTCTCTGCTCGAGGAGCCATGCGCAAGCGATGAAGTGGTTTATGAAAATGATCAGGATCAAGAGCTTCACAATGTCCAGCAGCCTGGGTAGACGGGGGGACAGGGGCACAGGGGTCAGGACCCAAGGAATCTAAACGACGAAACATCGAAGAGTTCTCCTGAACACACCCGAACAATCGAACTTACACCCTCTGTCAGCCCTCGTGCAGATCCTGATCCCGTGAGCTCTCAAAATGGTAGCCCTGAGCTTTCAGCTCTAAGCTCCCCATAATAGACCCTAAGGCCTAACACCGTAACATCCAGGAACACAGAGATGTGCTCTGAGTCGACTTGGTCCTGAGTGCAAGGGAGCTGGGATGGATCAGTTGGAAAACTGGTAGCTTCAACCTCCAGCGGCCG